GCTCATACACCAGGTGGCAGTAGCACACTGGCAGCTCTTGGGGCTCCAGCCTCCTTTTCTCCAGTCTCTTATTCCTTCAGGCTTTGAGGAGAGAAGATCTAAGAGGACAAGACAAGAAGGAACAACAGGCTGCAGTGTGCTGGTCCAAGAGACTTTCCATTGCTTTTTGTCCAGGATTCATGTATCTGTTTGGCGCTGGGGCTCTGTAGCTCTGTGCCCTGTGCTTTGTATTGGCAAGAGTCTCCCAGTGCCCCTCTGCCCCTCGTCTGAGTGCTCTGCGGCTCTGAGCACCTGTGTGCGCCCTTGTCCTCCCATGCTTCTGTGTATCTCTATGCTCCCTGTCCATGCCAGTCTCCATGCACCTACACTGCCTTCACACACCTCACTATTTAATCTGCAGAAGCTCTAGACATTGCATGTTTCCCTGACCCTCTTCACTTTTTATTGACAGCCCTCTGACTGATGTGTAATGGAAACCAGGCTCTCTTTTCTAGAAAACTCAAAAGGTAAGATCGATGAGGGGGCGAGAGATTGTATTTGTGCACATCGCACTGAGAGGCCCCTGGTTGCTATCTGATGAACTGCAGGCAATTATTATTAATTATTGCCAGAAAAAGAGCTGCAGAGGTAGTCAGGCAGCTTACTACTTGGTGTATGTGAAAAACAGGAGCTGCAGGACACCTGCTATCTGACGTGCTGTCCTGCAGGCAGCTGTGTTACCTGGTGTAGCGGCACAGAAGGAAGAAAGAGATGGAAGGGGAAGGGAATTAATTCCTCATGAGCTGTGTGCCAGGCTGTCCGCTGGCTGTTTCAGGTCACTTCTTTACTCCCTCAGCACTCCTTCCAAAACAAAAGAGAAGGGCTCGAAGTCCATCCATTTATCCATTTTGTAACCACTTTGTTCAATTCAGGGTTGAGCAAGAGCCAGAGCCTATCCTGGCAGGACACACGCTGGCTGGGATGCCAATCCATCACATGGTCCGTCAGAAGGTCTGGCAACTCATTCTATTTCTACAGAGAGTGAAAGTGGTGTGACTATCCTTATTAAAGATAAATAATGGTGTTTGATGAGGAAGGTTTAAATGAACTGAGCTAATGTGCTTCTACTATTTTGGACCCATTGAAAAATGTGTGTGCTGGTTTTAGCCCACAAAGAATAAATTCTCACTTTATTTAATTTAAAAGAAACACCTTAACATCTAAATATTGCTATTTTATTTTTAAACATTCAAACATAAAAAAATCAGGTTTTATTATTGCATTTGTCTCAACACTTAAAATGATTGTGTTCACATTATGGATTTAACCTTTAAATCATACAGTATAGCATCAGGGTGAATATACTGTACTCATCAGTTATTTAAAACAAAAATCAACAACTGAACATTTAAATCCATTTATTTTATTGGTATAAGAGTTTCAGGTATCAGCACCATTGACATGTAGTGAGTGTTGTTTGCTTTTACAGTTTTAAAATCACAAACACCTTTGTCAAAACTCTTGCATTTTAATAGCCAATAAGCATCAATCATTTACCCTAACATTTCTTCTTTTAGTTACTTGTGTGAGAAAAATATTTTACTGCTCTTTTGTGAATTTTTCAGTTCTGAGCTTCAAACAAATACAGTCTATTACTGTATATTAACCATCCCAGCAAGTTTCAGGTTAAGACATGACATGAAGCTCTTGGAGGAAGCACAAACAATACATGGATCATATTTCACTCTTTATCTCTTTCTTGAGTTTCTAAATGAAATCTAAATCCAAATTCAGTTTTGACTAAAACTTATTTTTGCCAGCAAATAACTACAGTAAAAAAACACATGCTTTATAACATCATGGGGCAATTTCTAGGCACATGGATGTGTACACGTCACTGATGTCTTCAGAATCTCCTTTATTCACATTTGCCGGAAATTCAAGGTTTTCAATATTCTTCCGATGAAACTACCCTCTGAGACCATGCTTCTCCCGATTCCTGACTTTAAACCTCAAATTAAGACAGTAAGACTCACCTCAGATACATACTGCCTTCTTCATTCAGTCTTCATTATTATTATTATTATTATTATTATTATTACTACTACTATGGAACACCTTTGGAACACTACGTCAACAATATACAGTAACTTTGTTCCAAATTTCAAAGCATACATTAAGTTTTGCAAAGAGCATACGCTGTCTCAAGATTGATAAAAATGCAGTTTTTTTTAAACTGCTTCTGTTTGAAAATCTTCTCAGGCATCAATCCAGTGTAAATATAATAAATACAACATATAATATAAACCATATATAATCCACAACATATACACTATACAGCCAAATTCCGAAAAGTATTTCACTGTGTAAATCAGGCTAGTGCCCTGTGCAAGCTGGTACTTTTTCTACCACAGTTCTGATCTCTTGATAAGCTGATCTCTTGGCATTAAGTACAACATACAGTATTTCCCATCTGAGAGGCATAATGTGGTTGAATAAATTGTGAAAATTACTGATTGAAAATATAACTTAATAGCTGAAACAGCATAATGTGGAGAAAATGTTGGTCTCTAATTCTACAGGAAGCAGAGGTGCTCTATCTTTTGCTCTCCTGAAATTACACCAGCCAGCATAATCCAGGTATTCCACATCATTTACATCTGTCAGCTGTAATTTCCTCCAGGAATTGTCAGCAGGCATAACTGTAAAATTCCCCACAAAAAAACAAATATAAATGTTGATAGTTGTTGCAGGAATAAAATGTTTTAGAATGTTTTCCATCATGAATAGTCTCTGTACTAGAGCATAAATGTGTAAAAATCTGTACCTTCACACTGTAGTGTGAGTCTCTTCCGAAGAAGGCTCAGCAGCAAATTGCTGCGTTTCTCCCTTCTATTTCTCAGATTGGAATTAACCTTTACTAGTTTCTTTGCAGCCAACACATGATGATGCAGGTCCCCAGTCGATTGCTCAAAGCAAGCCCAGCAGTTTGCTGGATACAAATAATTCATGTTCATGTTGAACAACAGTTTTTTTAAAGAACATATGTATATCTCTCTCAGCATCCAGGTGGATGCTGCACATTGGTGGTGGTGGAGGGGAGTCCCCATTACTTGTAAAGAGCTTCGAGTGGAGTGTCCAGAAAGGTGATATAGAAGTGTAAGCAATTGTTATTATTAATTAACATCTATTTAAACATTAATATTCCTAAACACTGATATTGCATGTACCTGTTGAGACATAGCTACTGACAAACACTGATAAAATGGCCTTGAGAGGGAACATTCAGACTCTCTAAATCTAGGGTTCCTGGCCTGCCTGTGGACCAGCAATCGTATGACACAGCACATAGCCGCACCCTTCCTCTCTCTCTGCCTGGATTGTGCGTACAATGAGATAGAGTCGTTTTCAATACTTTGAACTCAAGTACACAAAATCATAAAAAGCCAGAATCAGCCCAGAACAAACGGTGCAACACGAATCAGAGGACACAAATGGAAACTGCATGAAAGTGCTTTTAAAACGGAGAACAGGAGTCTGGAACAAGCTGCGCAGACACGGCTTCTTTCAGGAAATGCTGGCTGGGGTCCATGGATCAATTAGCTACTAAATACCAAATGCGCTAAATGGGCTGAATGACCTCCTCTCATTTGTAGCCTTCATCTTTTTATATAACATGCTTTAGCAATTGTGCAATACTGTGATAATTCACACGGATACAAGTTGAGTGAAATATCACAGCCTTAATTTGCAGTGAGATGCCTTAATCAGGAGGCTGCTGTTGCTACTTACACTACTGTAAATACCCATTTTTTCATTTATTTATCTATCTACTCTTTACATTGTTTTATTTTTATTTACATACCAATACTACCTCAGTAGCTGCTAAGGATTCTTGGTCCCCCTCGTGTGTGTTGTTCTGTGACACTGTGCTGACTGTTCTAGTGTACTGTGCACCTCTGGCCAGGAGAAACTATATTTCGTTCTCTCTTGTACATCTGTATGAGTGCAGAATGACAAAGTGAGCTGAGCTGAGCTGCAGTCAGCAGACAGGGGGGCCTGAATGGTGTGGGAAGGACGTCCCCGTGAAGCCGATACCGTACAGACTCTGGGCACTGCATCACGCCAGCAGACACTGAGAGCTTTCTTCCCAGCTCATTTCATTGCCCTCATGTGTCCAGTCAGCTGTAATCAGCACTCTCCTCTGATTCAGGCTGAAAAATCACACAAGCTAAGAAATGTATTTTACAGAGGACCCCTGTATTTTGAAAGGATTTTAAATAAGTGTGCTTCAAAATAACCGATAAAATGTTAAAACAGCAGAATATTGTCAGTTGCTATTACCTGCGACACACCATAGTTGCTTGTCCTATAGTGCCTGGAGCAAAAGAGTACATTTGTGTGACCGAAAACGAAGGGTACAGAAGTTTGAGGGAACAGGTATTCTAAGAAAGCTGCAGTTTAAGGAAATCAGCTTGATGAAATCTCAGGAAGAACTGAACTTGCATAACTCCAGAAAACACCTTTAGAAAGCAGGACCTGTTTAAAAATCAATTCCCTGGAGGTACAGTATAATGTTAGAATTCACTGAAAGACAAATATTATGTGTGAAATAAAACAACGAAGAAAGTCTTGAAGGGACTTTGCTCCTTTGGGTGCTGTACAGTGGGGCTGCTGGTACTGAATGGCTTCCACATGTGACCCAGTGGGACCTGGGCACCTTCATCCTTTGTGGTGAAAAGTGCTATAAAATTAAAATGTATCATTAATTGGGCCATTGTAAAATGCAATGCAAAGGCTTTAAAAGCAAAACTAACTCTTACGTCTGGGTTTGATGTTAGCAATGTCTCATGTTGTTGAGACAGATACAGTACCTCATGTCTGTAACTTCTGTGAAAAACCTTCTGTATTTTTAAATCCACTCAATAACAAATACAGGTATCTTGTGAATCCCCCCTTCGAGACAAATAATTTCCTATGAAATGCAGTGTGTAAAGTGTTTGCTTGACAGAACAACATTATTATAGCAATCGATTTCCTTTATTGCTTGACCCAGACAGGACGATATTCTGTAATGACAGGGAAAACCGTCACATTTTCAACCGGTCCACAAGGAACAAAACGAATTCACTTTTGATACGATTCGGAAAATAAGACGGCACTGTTCCCGTGGACCACCTGTAAGCGGGATAAAAACTTTTAGTACAGTATTCAAGAGCAGTCACTCGGGACGACAACATGCGCTCTTTTCACAAACAGGCAGATTCCGCGTTAAGGGCTTTGCAGCTCTTCGTTTTCAATCAACGTGTCTTTCTTCAGAAACCTAATGTTCCGGATGGATCTCCACACCCCTACATAACTGTCGCTCGGTGACGGGCTCTGGCCCTCCGGCTCGCCCGGGTTGGCTTTTGTTTGCAGTGCGTAAGACTCCACCGTCCCGTCCCCACCACTCGGCTCCCCTGGATCGTTTAGCTCCACGGGTCCTGCCGCGGCTCCATTCGGTACCGCCTCCGGGTCCCCATCTGGCCGTGTTCCTTCTTCCCGGTGTGGCTCACCCACCGGCGTCTCGTCCCTGGCCGCCTCCTCCAGGTTTTCGTATTTGCTCTTCTTTTTGGTTTCAAAATATTTCACAATGCAGTACGTGATGGAGCCCACGGTGTTGACCACCACGCCTGCAATGAACAGCTTGGTGGGCTCCACGTCGCTGAAGGCCAGCATTCCCACCGTGATCGTGGCGACGCTCTTCACCACCCCCACAAAGCTGGTGGTGACGGCAGAGTTGATATAGGTGCAGTGCAGGGTGGTGAAGTTCATAGCGCAGCCTATGAGGATGCAGGCTACAAAGGTGCAGGTGATGAAAGGGCTCGTCCATCCTGGGTAGGACCAGGCATTAATGGAGTCCAGACTGGCAAAGGAGCAGATCAGCAGCAGGGGGGAGGCCGTCACAGCGATAGCGTACTGGGCTGTCAGCGGCCCGTAGTCGTTGTCTGTGCCTGTCTTCTGAATGATCACAAGGTATGACGCATGGATAATGACGGCCAGCACCCCAGTCACGTATCCAAACGGGTCTCCCGTCAGATCTCCAGCGCCTGTAAAAACAACAGCTTTTAAAATATGATATAAAGGGGTATATATCTGGTGTATGGCAGTCATTCTGAAGGTATATACAGTATACACTGCATATAAGAAAAAAGTATCCTCACTGCATTATATACAATACAGTTATGTTCCTTTTTTTTCCATCTTAGTATGACAATTGTAAGGTTAATTATAGGTCACGACTGAACAATAGGGGAAGTACAGTAGTATGGGGATGATAAGAAGTCTCAACCATGCAGAAAACAACCTATGATGATCATATAATATTCAAGTGCAAACAAACCAATCCAATTTTTATGCGAGCTTCAACAAATCTACTGTTAACATCAACAGAAAATAGTTCGATAGGCTGGACAGCCAATATGACTCGAATGTATACATACTGTAGTTTCTGCCACTGAGCTGCGTTTTAAAATGTATCAAGAGAAGTCGGTAAGAAATAAAAATGCCAGTTCAAATACATACAGTATCTTCCATCAAAAGCAATATAGAAAACATTAAGAACTTCTCGTTATCGTCAGTAACGAACTCTGATTTGACAAGACGGATATTTATACAAATGAAAAACAGATTACAGTTCTTTTCTACAAAGGTAACGCGAAAATACGGTGAGAATTAACATGACCTGCTAATGCAGCTCCCCCGGTGGTGATGACCACTGCAGTTATTACTCCAATAGATGGGACTCCATTCTTCAGGACGCAGACACCGATAGTCAGCGTGACCAGAGGAAGACATCGTTTAAAAACCACATACATGGGAAGACTAAGCCCCTTAAGCGACCACAGGGTCAATGTGGACTGCAGCGTAGATAAAACTGTTACACCGGCAAAAACTTTGGCTAACTGCAGGCTGTACGGGGGTACATCTACTTTTCCCAGCCTCCTGAGACCCTCTAAGGTTAGTGCTGCAGTGCTGCTCGTCAGAAACTGGATTAAAGTGAGGTACTGGAAGTTGTAAGTTGTAATCAGAAATTTTAATAAAATATTCAAAGATCCCGAGAAAAATCCGTGCGCAACAGCCACCGAAATTCCCAGTAAACGCCCTCTGCAAACTTCCATGTTTCCTTTGTGAGTTCTTTCCCAAATCTCCAATTAAGAGAACGAAGGATCGCGGAGTATATTGACACTTCAGCCTCCCAAGTTGTTAAAATGTATCCTGCAAGTGGATGACTAAAACGGCCAGTTTGTGAAAGGCGGACAGGAATGAACTGACCAACGGGACATTTATTTTTCAGATGTGTCCACTGCAACAGTGGAGAGGTCCAAAGGAACAAAAAAAAAAGAAGCTTGGAGCTGCTGACGCATTTGGTTTCGGAGGTGAATCCGCACTTTCAATTTATTTAATTACGTGAGAGCGGCTATTTCGGTCTCTCTCTCCCCGGTCTTGGCATCGCGTACACCACTGTTCTGAGAGGAGGTGGGATTTGCGGAGTATTCCTCATGCGTTCTCACATCCGTCCTTTTCCCTCAATTACGCGCAGCACGTATCGAGAGGGTTCGAGTTGGGCTTTTCGTGGTTATGTGATTATGTTATGTGGTTATGTTTTCCAACAGCCCCGGCGGCACTGATGGTCTTGCAATTAAAATAGTTTAGGTCTCCTAGCCTTTTAATTTCTTTAATGGACTTTAGTTGTTCTTATTTACATAATGAACTCAGGGTGACACATTCTGCAGTAGGAGATTGATGTATTGTAGCACAAATTAAAACCTGAAGGGTGGTCAGGCGTATTAAGATCTAGGCTCTTTTTCTGTTTCAATCCTCCACACTCAACCTTTCAATTTCAGAATACAGACATGGGAAACCGCGTTCAACGCCAAGTGGATCAGAAGACAGCCACCGGAAAAAGACTAAAAAGACCATAAAAAAATCAGGGTGCAATTTAAACAAACGAGATTGAATATTGGTTCTCAAATTTCTTAATGTAATGCTAAGGAAGCAATTGTTTTATTAATTTATGTTTAGATTCAGCTTTCGGAAGTGCATTATCAAGTGATATTTTTCCAAATTATCTAAACAAACCAGTCTAACCACCGGAGCTGCAAAATAAAGTTACATATTACAAATGCTACAAAGTTACATCTAATATTCGTGTACCAGTATAGGGAACAGTAATTCAAACAATGGATGTGATCTTTTTTGTATACACTGTACCTGCACTTACACCTAGTGCATGTCGAAGGAACGTATGAATGTCTGAATGAGAACTTATTAATCGAAAACTTGCTACCTAGAGTCGGTTCGTCAGAGTCCAGTTAGCAATGAGTAGATTTACACTGTAATTAAAAAATAAATAGAACAAAAAATGTTACAGTAAAAAATGATAAGAAACTATGGATGATGAAACGCCTGCAGTATTACCATCACCCTGCCTTTGAAACAAATGTTTTCATTTAATTATTAAGTGGAACAAATATTTTGAGCATACCTTTTAAAGTCAGGGAATACTTATTCAATCTAATCATTAAGATGTTCTTGGGAAGTACAGTATCTCATTTAAGACAGAGAGTACCCTCACATTTGACTGTAGCTCCATGACAGGTACAGCTGTAAGCTGCTGCACCAGTTGCCTGTGTAAGTTGGATTTTGATTAAAGAAAGGTTCTGCTGACAACCACAGTTTAAGAAACAATATTCATTACAATAAATGCATAACCGTATTTAAATACAGGGTGCCAAATCCTGTGTCTGACAACACAGAGTATTTCAGATAACATTTCAGAATTCTGTTTCCCTCATATAGTGGTTCTAGAAATAGTGTAGCATAAGGTTTCTTCTACATTTTCTGAAGTAAAGCTTTTATTAAGGACAGTTCGCAGAGGTGTGACTTTGTTAACATTTTAAAATATGAACCCTATAGTTTGTTAAAGCCAAAAAACTAATGGAATAAGCCTAGTAAAAAAAATCTGCCTTTGCTAATATGAATATTTTGCTTCAAATATTTTCCTACTTGATTAAATAGAGTATTCTGGAAAAAAAACTTTACTTAAAATGTGATACACAACAAAGGTAATTTCCTTCTCTCTTCACCTCCTTCAGACATTTCACTAAATTTTGAATATGATATCAAAATTATGAGTAGAAAGATGTGATAAACATTCTATTCATTTCCTTTCACGATACTGTTTCTGTTATCCATAAATACATATATATATACTGTATATTATATTAATAATATTGAAGTATAGCACTAATATACACCTGTCAACATACTGCATAATGAAATCAATCTATTTTAAGGATGTAGACATACAGTATATTAGTTATGGAACAGGTTAAGGTCATGGACCGGATTCTGAACCGCAGAAAGAGAGTACTTTCCTCTCTTTTTCACACCCGAAGAAGGCTCCACAGCCAAAACGTTGTTTCTTTTCTTCTCCTTTCAGCATGGAATAAACCTTTATCTGTTCCTTTGCACCCTATGCATGCTGACGCAGCTCCCCATCTGAACTACTTATATTAAGATTTAGAAGTTTTAAAATATTATTTGTACTTTTACATTACTTTAAAATATTGCTTTTAGTTCACTCTATTGTAATAACGTCCGTGCACATACTGCAAAATGACAAACAGTGAGAAGTGGCTCGTATAGGAAGTTAAACTCAGTAAAATAGGATCTGTACTGTATGTTACAGTTCTTTTGCAATGTAACATTCTTCCTGTTAATTGTAGAGGAGCAGAAGAAACAATGAATCTTTTATTTTTATAACTTAAGAAGAACATGAGAATGGGTACAAGTGAGAAAAGGCTATCTAGCTTTTTCGGGTTAGTAATCAATAAGACAATCTCATCCGGTTGTTTTAGTTTCTTTAGATAAGCCAGGGTATTGACTTCAATTGCACAACTGGGTAGACTTGTTCCATGCTCCAGCAACACTCTGTGTAAGGAAGTGCCTCCTGTTCTCAGTTAAAAATGCATTTCCACATAGTTTCCACTGGTGTCTTTGTGCTACACCGTTAATTCTGAAGAGGTCCACTATAATGTTCATAAGAGCAAAACGGGAAATAGTGGTTAACACTCCTTGGCCAAAACCTTTTGAATTACTGCCACACTACAACTACCACACTTCAAATGTATTTTAAATAGAAATACAGAAATTCTGCAATGGGAACACAGTGTAGTGCAGAAAATGTACTTTTTAATTAATTGTCAAATGGACTTACACTGCGTTATTTTAATGTGGCGCACACATGAACTGCAACAGAACTCCAGGATGGATATTTTCTGTAGTTAGGAATGGCACAAGCTGGCTGCTGCCACTCATGTCTAAATCATCTGTGTCAGACTATGTTGTTTTTAATGTGCAGGGAACCTGAAGTTATACAGCACATTCAGAACTAATGCCACATGGGAAGTCAGCTTGATTCATCCCCATGCCTTCTAGAGAAAAAACACATGATAAAGTGGTGGATAATCCTCCACTCTTTTAATTTATATCACATTTGCTGTCATTCATCTTCTTCCTGTACAAGATATAAAACCAGGGGCGTTTCTTCCAGCATTCTCCTATGATAAATGGCATCTTACAGTATATTGTACAGCCACCTTTTAACCTCTTTGTCCTGCGTAGTTAATCAAGCATACACTGCTGTCAACATTCATAATTTCAGTTTAGAAACAGGAGAACATTGTCCACTTGATCACATCTCTACTGTAACAGTTACAAACTTCATGCACATCACAAAACAGAGATATTCTTCTGCATTTCAAGCCCCATCTGCTTTCCGGTGCTCATGCACACGAGGCATTTCACGGTGCGATAATAAAGACTGATGTGGAGCTTTGATAAAAGAACACAAATAATAAATCAAGTGCAGTCAGTGCTGTAGACTTTTTCACCTCCTGGACGAAAGATGATTGTTTTTCTCCTAAGATCCATTTTGATGAAGGTTAGAGAGACAAGGAGGTGTGTATATTTTTATGGTTTCATCCCAGGCACAGTCTACGACCTGTAAGACAATCATATTAAAATCAGTAGTGCATTACCATATAGTATTAAAACAACCAAAAGTAATTACTGCCGGTGAGTGTGTGAGGCAGGAATGCTTTATCTTAATGCTGTTCATTTTTCTTCCTGCCTTATGCAAATAAAACTGTAGTGCTGAAAATGCTAACGAAGCCTCCTTAAAAATGTACTGACAGAAATAATATTTAAAATGTGTGGCAAATGCACTTGGAATAGAACTGCCTGCGTTACATGCAAAAAGTAAAGCATGTGATAAAATCAGACTATTTTGACTGAAAATAATTAGTTCCTTAATCAAATTGAACCTCCCCAGAGCAACTGCTGACTTTGGGCTCAAGGCATTTCAGTTTTTCCTTGCTTGTGACTGGATCAATCTACAGAGTGAAGTGGATATATCAAGGTTATCTGAAGATTTTTTCAGATGGGTGATTAAAGCTTTGTGTTTGACACCTGTACTTGTTAACACTGCCTTGCCTTTTGTCCTTTGTGCATCATTAGCTGAAGCCTCATGGCCAGACAGTCATTGCTCATGAGAACCTGTTCTTAACTGTTGTATCTAGTGAAATAAAGGATTAGGGACCTGAGTTTTGAGTGCCCTGGGGTGGCCAGTTTTGAGGGTCTAATGCTGAATATAAAGTGCTCTAAAACTCACACGTACTGTTAATATTAAGTTATTGCATTTTGTTTTTTGTTTCTGTAGTAGCTGAATAAATGTTTGTCTTATATAATGGTGCCTGTCTATTAAGTAATATTCCTCACATTGTGTTATATTATTGTAGTGCTCTCTGTGTGATATATTGGACATATGCTACAATTATGGATAAAGTAATTAACAATCTGTATAAATGGACAGTTTTAAAAAGCTAATTTTTAATTCATGCAAGAACAACAAAAGATACTGTAAGATAATTCCCTGCACGAGTAATAAATGATCATCTCGCTGCTATCAGCATGAGTGAAGATGTCTGTCGGTGAATTCAGATGTCCAGGGAATGATCTCCATCAGTAGGCTGGTTTCTTACCTTTTCCTTCCCATGGCCGAATTACATTCATATAAACATGCTGAGGTACATCTCCTTCCTCCCTACACACACATAGACATCACTGGCCACGTCTATTATTAAAATACTCCAAACAAAACCTATTTTAACATTTAAGGATTTCAGTCTCCTTCCTGGCGGAAATAGTTGACAGTGAAACAAAAAACTCTTGCTCAACCACTCTCAGAAGTTACCTTTTCACAAGACGCAATCTTGGAGTGTAGTCTCTTTCTCATCTCTACACAGCAAATGCGTAACACCTGCTTTGGTTACTCAACAAACACAATACATATAAACATTGTTTTTTTTCATACATGAAACGTCTGAAAAACAACAGTCTTACTGGGACTTAACAGAGAACAGAAGTTGTTCTTCACCTGTCCTTTTGTAATACTAGCATGTTTTTGTAGGGCTGGGGAACCTTTATGACATACGACAGAGGAAAGCAGTCATGTTTTCATATTTCTGTAGAAAACTTTACAAAGGGCTCCATAAATTAATCACTGTGTCTCTATCGCACTGACTGATACAGTCCTGTAGAAAGACAGCGTTAGTCATTTGTTATGTCTCCACAACTGTGGAGACAAGGGGCGGAGCAAAGGCACTGTGGCTCAGGATCTGCGCCTGTGGCTGGGAGGTTGCCGGTTCAAATCCTGCGGCCGGCAGAGGAATCCTATTCCATTGGGCCTCTGAGTAAGGTCCTTAATCCCAGCTGCTCCAGGGGCGCCGTATAAATGGCTGACCCTGCGCTCTGACCCCCAGCTTCTCTCTCCCTGTGTGTCTCATGGAGAGCAAGCTGGGGTCTGTTAAAAGACAAAATCCTAATGCAAGAAATTGTATAGGGCTAATAAAGTGATCCGATCTGATCTTATCTTAAAACAAAGTCATACTGTGATGCGTTCCATTTCCCCGCTACTAATGACAAGATAAGAACACAATGAAAGACACAGACGAGAGGAGACCATTGAGCCCGTCTGGTCTGTTTGGCAAATCCATCCATTTTCTAACCATTTCTTCCGATTTGGGGTGGAGGGGTCCGTCAAACAGAGGGCAGGATACACCCTGGAGAGGACCCTGTCCATCCCAGGGCTCGGTATTGTGCAAGATCTCCATAGAAATGTTCAACACATTATATCCTCACCCATGATATCCTCTTATGTTTCTTTCCATTTTTGTATGCTACATGGTAAGTGCAACGCAATTCAGTAAACTACCTTCGTTTTCATCATGATGCCTGGGAAGCTTTGATTATATTAACTTTGTTTCACAATTCTACAAATCCCACATGTCTACAGTATAGGCACTGTGCTGTGAGGGAGATATCTATAAAGTTAATGCATGAAGCGTGATTTCAGCACGCTGTGAATGAAGCAAGATTTCGGTAGTGTGTGCAAGCTCTGTACATTTCAGCACGTACAGTAGTTTATGTAACGTGAAGAATATGAACAAATGGCGCCTCATAGCTTACTCTGCTGGCAAAGGTGCTTCTGCAACATGACAGAGGGACAGGATGACATAGAGAGGGACAGGAAGAAGTGGAGATCAGATAAGCCACTGACCAGCACTGCACGTTTGTCTAACCTCGTTTGGAAATAAGACTACAATAGACTGTACGCTGATATTTGCTGTACTGGCTAAGCGTGTGGATAGAGCCATGAAACTAATAACTGACGTGTGTTTTTGATGTCCAGCTGAGCAAACATATCAAGTGCAAATGTTCCACTCAATAAACTTTCTCGGTTTACAGTATTTACAGAAGGATCTATAGCAAGGCAGCAATAATACACAATTACCATCAATAGTCAATAATCAGTTGGAAGTGGCGGTAGCTATCTCCTGACATTAGTGCACTTTGTGTTGGAAAGAGACGAGTTCTTAGTGCGAATGTAAGTTCATTATTATTTATTGTTTGGTCAACTTCACAATGGAATCCTTACTTGATCAGCCAAATAGTTTGGATTGAACTCTTTCTGAAGGCGATACACTGACTAGAGCTGTACAGTTTATGGACGATAAGTTCGTTTTGAAGGCATCATTTCAAATGAATCAAGTGAATACATTTATTCCCCCTGGATGGTTGGTTCATTTGATTCACTGGAGATTAAGCATCAGGGCTGGAGAATCAGCCCAGGACATGATTCATTTCTGACATCAGAGCTCAGAGAACAAAGAGAGGAACTTGGGGAACTCCAGAGAAATGTGATACAGTAAACCTTGTAAAAGGCACGCATAAATTGTCAAACTGCTTGTATGTGGACTGAGAGTTATACAGGATGTGAAGAATGTTTTGTTATTTCAGCCTGCTCTATCAGTTTTGACCCTGCAAAACTTACAGAATTATATGATCCTGTAAAAACATTAATTTCAAACATCTACTACAAGAGGTGTAAATCATTTTGCCTGTGTTTCATTTTAAAATTTCAATAATCTACACATTGTCATTAGCTATGAATGTAAACACATCCCATATAAGGTAAATAACAAAATGTGTTGTTTTAGTCATCTTCCATTACAATTAGAATGTTAAAGATTTAGGTGATTAATTTAGCATACTCAGAAATACAAATTGCCATGTTAGTTTTATTTTCTATACATTCTTAAATTAATAATTTAATGTGATCATTGCTTATAGAAAAATCAAAATCCGATGTCATACTGTTGCTTTATTACCTAATGTATTTCTATAACGTGTTTGTGATAATTCAATATAACTAAAGAAGTGTACTTTGAAGGTATATTCCTTATTAAAATATTGCTTTACCCTGCAAATTACTACTGTATGCATCAAACAGGCTAAGCTCTCAACTAAACTATCTCTATATGATAGTTCCTCTAGGATTTTCACAAAAATAAAATCACGTTTCTCGACTTGCATATCTTTCCACGTGGAAGAAGGAAAACTATGAAGAATATCAATTTCACATTATACCTTATTTCCATTTGTCTTCAGCAATAACTAAAGCTTGTTTCGGTTATTAATATGAATTGTCTTCATCACTCTGCTCTCCTCCCCACTGATAGCTGTGTGGGGAGCGTTCTGGCGCACTATGGCTACCGTCGCATCATCCAGGTGGGGCTGGACACTGGAGGGGGTGGAGGGGATCCCCATTACCTGTAAAGCGCTGTGAGTGGAGTGTCCAAAAAAGCGCTATGTAAGTGTAAGCAATTAATTATTATTATTAATAAATTATGATATTTAGTGGTGCTATGTCATTCAGAGAATCAAACTCCTTTCAGTTAATGTTAACAAGTCAATGACAGAATCGATTCAGTGTTTTTCCCTGACTTATAATAATTAATTGCTTACACTTATATAGCGCTTTTCTGGACACTCCACTCAGGAGTGGAGAGCAGAGTAATGTAGTCAATTCATAGAGGGGGATTATTAGGTAAGGGTAAGGGTCAATGGGAAATTTGGCCAGGACGCCCGGGTTACACCCCTACTCTTTTCTAGAAACGCCCTGGGATTTTTAATGACCACAGAGAGTCAGGACCTCGGTTTTACTTCTCATCCGAAGGACAACGCCTGTTTACAGTATAGTGTCCCCGTCAATATACTGGGGGCATTAGGACCCACATGGACCACAGGGTGAGCGCCCCCTGCTGGCCCCACTAACACCTCTTCCAGCAGCAACCTTAGTTTTTCCCAGAAGGTCTCCCATCCAGGTACTGACCAGGCTCACACCTGCTGAGCTTCAGTGGGTTGCCAGTTGTGAGTTGCAGGGTGATATGGCTGCTGGCTTGGGTTCGATTTAGTGATGCTGTTTCATTCAAGTGAGCTGGTGAATCAAATGATCAACATGAACGAATCTCCTAAACAAATCTAATTAATCCATTCTCTAAAAAGAATCAATCTGCCTTTAGAAGTTGTTTTCTTTTATTTTTGGCAATATGTCTTTCCATCTTCAGATATCTACCAGGCAAATAAGCTTATTTCTTCTACTTTTATGCATTTATATGAAACAGTATAGACAGAAAGGTCCCCTTGATTTAGCATCTGTTTAGACAGCAGTTTTGTCCACCTGAGTAGAGCTGTTTGGTACCGGGACTTGTTTATCGAGGGTGGGGTGGATATTTCATGGTTCTTTAATAAACTAATTTAAATGTTTGTTTGTGTCCTCTAAGTTGTTTGATGTTCATTTACTATGCAACTACACTGTGCAAGGAACAATGAAGCCACTTGGCTATGTTTGAGATTTCCAAATCAGTGGAATAATTCATTATTTATTATTAATTCATTATCGCCTGCCAGGAAAACTTGTGTGTGTACCTTACTTTAACCTTTAATTTAACTGTCTCTCTAACTGACAAATCCCACATCCATCACTGCAGTCTGAAACAGTACCATACAGTATAATCAGTATATCTTTCTGTAGAGCTTCTTTTGAACATCTTTTCCATTGCTAATTTTAAACACTTAAGATTTAACATTTTGTTATGTATAGAATACCACATTTAACTGGACTGGAAGGCAGAAAAGCTTGAGAGAATATTTAACACCAAGGTGGATAAGCAGAGTATTGCTGTTCAACTCTGCAGTAAATTTCGCAATACCACACCACTCACTCCATTAATTCATTATAGCTACTGCACTGAGACGTCAACTGATTTAATTCACTTAGCTGCAGTTGCTGTCTTCAATTCATCACCACAGACTATTTCCTCAGGCCTGTGGATCCTTTCATGAGACACCAGAGACTTGATGGAAATCATTGAAATGACATATATTGCCCATTTATTGTTTTGTGAGAAAACCAGCCTTCAAATACAAAAAATTATTGTGTTTTCATCTCTCAGAACAGCATTGTTATATTTGTTTTACTTGGGTGCTGTTCATATCAAATTAGTACAGGGAAAAAAAATAACCATCACAAAACTAAATTCTCAGTACGGGTTTTTGTTTTTTGCAAGATATTGTGAGTGACCTCTTAGTTCATAAGATCACACTGATGATAAGTGTTTATTATAGACAGCTGTTAAACTGCAAATGAATGACTCAAAGCCTCTTAGCTAAAATGTGTCTTTGTCATTTTCCATAAACAGAAATACTGTTGTAATAATAATAATAATTAATAATTGCTTACACTTATATAGCGCTTTTCTGGACACTCCACTCAAAGCGCTTTACAGGTAATGGGGATCCCCTCCACCACCACCAGTGTGCAGCCCCACCTGAATGATGCGACGGCAGCTATAGTGCACCAGAACGCTCACCACACACCAGCTCTCAGTGGGGAGGAGAGCAGAGTAATGAAGCCAGTTCATAGATGGGGATTATTAGGAGGCCATTATTGGTAAGGGCCAATGGGAAATTTTAGACTGTATGCCTAAAATGTTTTTTTTTCTTTAGGACAAATCAGACCTAAGTGTTCCTAATGGTAATGTGTTTATAATATTACAATTACTGATGTGTGTTTAATTATTTTTGTTACACGCTACGTAAATAACAATGCGTTTATGCAGCATTCCTTACAAAATGAAAAGATTCTGATGTTTTGAATGGGAGGTGAAATTCACAGACTAATTGTGTCAATATTTTATTACAGCAGCACACTCTGAACAGCAGATTTGCTGATGGAACTTCAAAAGCCAGGGGAGATACTGAAGGTTGAGGAGTTATGCAGCTGGCAGAGGGCGGATTTTGACCTTTTCATTTTTTTCCTATTTCACCTTAATAATGTTGCTTTTATTACTTGATTCAAACCATCCTGGTCCTGTTTGTTGCTAACTATAAATCAGATGATAAGAAGCCTGCCTCTTGTGCTGGTGCTGCTCTCCCTAATTCCAAACAACCTGCATGTTGGGTTTGGTTCCTCAACACCATAACATATGGATCGTGGATTCTTAATTTTTCATTGTTGGATAGCAGAAAATCTTAAATGTACATTCATGGAGCCAAGGACTGATTTCCAGACATATAAAATCCAAAGTCCATTACCTCTTGCTCATGTATTCAATTTGCATCAATTGTGGAGAGTTGACTTCACACACTTCTTATAATGTAGCTGCAACTTTGAATCTAGGGTTACTCAAAATACTCATTCTAATTATTCTAATTAAACATTATTTGCATCTGTCTGATTAACAGGTATTTATCATTGCATCTGAAAGCGGTTTAAAGCAAAAGCTAAATTATTAATAGAGACATGAGGGGGTGAATACTAAAACTGAGGTGATAGAATTAGTGATGCACTACAAGGATCTGTACTGGGAACACTGCTCTTACTCATTTTTATCAATGGTTTATATTACAATTTATATTCTGTTATTGTGAATAAAAGAATCGAGTTCACGCATGATTCTAAAAGAGAGGAATTAGCACTGTAAAAAGACTTTGACAAAATCCAACACCAGGCAAACAGCTTACAGATGACAGGTAAGTTTCTACATTTAATATGAAAAAATTAAGTGTTACATGACAGTGCAGACAGGTAGAATATACATCTAAATATATGATGTGCAAAAACACTGAGCTTGAAGAAGCTACCTGTGAAAAAGTCTTGAGTGTATATGTTGACATATTTATATCTTCAAAAGCAATAAAAGATACAATGCTCTTGTAAGACCCTTATTAGACTTTTGTGTACAATCTTGGTCTCCACATTACACAAAAAGATACTGATGTCCTGCAGTTGGCCCAGGTGCATTTATGGGCTTAAAAGAATGTCCTACACTGAAAAGCTAAAAGACCTAAACCTTCCAATCTTGGACAGAGAAGAGTACAAGGGGACCCCATTCAACTATTCAGACTCCTCTACGGACTTCCTCTGAATCAACAGGGAATCTCAGACTGGAGGAAGTAAGTTTAAACTGCAGCAAAACACCTTTAAGACTGAGAACAGGAATCATGGTTTTATACAAAGTTACCTGAGCATGTTGTTGAAACTGAAACCCTGACTTATTTCTACTACTGGTTTAGGTAGTTCATATTTTCTTTTGTTCTTATTTTATATGGGAACCATTATTTATATCAAAGTGTTATTACTGATATTGAAAGTATAATAAAGTGCATTACTAAGCTACTACCTTCCAATACCAGACGCACAAGGCAGAAATCCATCACTTCAAGAGACACAAGTCAAACTAAGTTTACATTTTTTGTAAAGTCAAACTTAGATCAATACCTGATTGGGGATGTGCAAGTTGAAATCTAGCCCGCATACAAACTCAGTGTGATGTTCCACCGTCTCCAGAAGAGACTCTGTCTTGGAAAAGTCCCAGAACCTGTGGATGCAAACCAAGAAAAAGCAATTCCCCTAATTGAAAGGCCGTTTTTCTTTTCAAAGACACCCACGAAAAGATTTGACACAGCCAAAGCCCACAGGAACAAACTGATCCACTTTGCAAATGTAATTAAATCGCTTCCCTGAAAATACCCCAGTTGATATCAATGCATTAGGAATGCATTAATACCAACATGTTTATACAGCTAAAGTGCGTTATTTATGGTTGCAGTAGGAGGCCTTCAGATGCAGAGTCTTATCATTTTAAGAAATCAGTCGATATAAACAATAAATATCAAAAGAAAATACCACATTATTATATATTGTAAATAAAAAATATAGTAATATTGTTAATAGATAATACATCTACATGATGAGATTTAATTTATATCAGTTTAAAAAAGATTTTAATATAAAAATAAAAGGAGGCATAAGATGTGTGCATCTGATTTAGCATTTAGCATGCGTATTGAATGAACCTTTATTGCTACATGCACAGTAGCTCAATAACCAAATCCTTCCCTTTAAAAGATTCACATTAGTCTTTTGTTTATCGGTCTGCACTACGTTCCTTTCAGATTTCTGTCTTCACTGGGAAGGAACAGCTAGAGAAGAACTTTTTCTGAGCAAATTGCTCACAGATTTTGATTACAGTAGAAACTATAAAAAAACATTCGATTAAACATTATGTGACATGATGAAACATTTGATTGGTATTGGATGCCGAAATGTTACTATACATACAGTACAGCATCCAAAATGACTAGACTTGTGTTTAGAGACACCACCTAAGTCTTCTATTATAAATACAATGTTATTTCAAGATACTGAGGGGTGCAGTTATTAAAACCTACAACCTACAACTTGCTTTAAATTGCAGGTTGAATCAGATAGTTGATTGAGTCAGAGGTGAGTAAAATTAACAATATTTCCAGAGGACATGAAAATATAATGATCTATTGAACTTTGTACAAAGGGAAAAAATGCAACAATCGCTGAAGGAACAGTTTGTAGGGAAAATGAAGTGAAGCAATATCCTCTTCTAATTAGGCAGTAAATAATATGAGCTAACACGTTTCATTTACCTTCCTCACTTGCTTCACTCTGCCTTCCTACTGTAAATTAACAAGGCAGTGGCTATTTAACAGCACCATAGCAACCTACATTACTACCCATTCCCTTTATTGCTGTTAACACAGGAGACTGACCGGTAATCTTAAGTAAACATGAAAGCTTAACACGGTTAAATGATGCACCGATGGAGTTTCAAAGCAGGGCCCCAACAGGTGCTTTTTAAAAATATATTGCCTGTTCACAACATGTTGAATGAAGATCTCTCAAAATAAACTAAAAATACAAAACAGCTTGCTACAGGCATAAAAGTCAATGGCATACTTATCCAAAGGCTGGTATAGTTAGGCTATTTCATCAGTCATTTGGACAGAAAGCGTGAACAGTTTATTAAAAGGCTTTCAGCCTAAATATTATAGATGTGTGTTTATTTTTTTTTGTTACACGCTACTAAAATAACAATGTGTTAACATATGGAGCATTTAAATATAAATTCACACAGCATCTTGATTTTAAACACGCCAGTGTATGAGCAACAGGAGAGTAAGAAAAATTGTAACATTGCTACAAATGCAGCAAAATATTTCCCACCCATTATGGCAGTCTGAACAATCAAACCATCATCATTTTCATATTACAGTCTCTTCACCAGCACTTAACATGCACCCAACATTAAATTTGACCTAGACTTCAGCTGTTTCTTTTGTTTACAGTACATACATGTTTAAACATCATGTGCTTATGTACCACAAATAAAAACAAAATGTATGCATAAAAAAGAAAATAAGTGTATAAATAATATCTCCAAATGAAGAACGAACAAATCAATCAAAGGGTGACTAAAAACAATGTTGTTTGCTCATTGTATTTTAATCTTTCATGAGCTGAGCGGCACAGCTCCTGTTACTTGTGAGCAGCTTGTGGCTCAGCTTCATGCCTACAGGCTCGATGCGAGACAGGCAGTGATGCTGTGCCCTCCCAGGTATCTATGATGGAATCTTTTACACCACAGATTAAGACACTGAGCAGTTCAGATTAAAGAGAATGCCCATAATATCACATTAAAATGCCCATAATATCACAAACTACAGTATGTCTAAAATTCAGCAGCCAGAATCCTGACCAGGTCTAGTGCAAGTGATCACATTACTCCTATCCTGGAGTCCTTGCACTGGCTTCCTGTCAAATTCCGTCTCTCTGCATGGCTTGGCACCTCAGTACCTGTCTGAACTATTATCGTCCCACTCCCCACCTAACTGTCCTCCAAGCCCATCTACATTGTATGGGTGACAGGGCCTTCTCCTGTTATGCCCCCAAGCTCTGGAACTCTCTGCCCAAGGATATCAGAGTCATCTTCTCTAAACTCAAATCCAGACTCAAAACCTTCTTCTTTAGAAAAGCCTTTACTTAACTGGTTCCATTCTTCACCCCTCTGCTTTTCTTAGTACCACCATCCACGGTCTCCTCTGTATATTGTAATTGTGTTTTATCTTGTGTATTCTTCTTATTTATTGTTGTTGTCATTCTGTAAAACGTTTTGAGAAGCCACCTTTAAAGACGCTATATAAAATAAAGTTTATTATATATTATTATTATAAGAAAGCTGTGTCAAACAACAGCATGTGAAAGTCATAAATATCATAAATGTTACTAGGCCATGCAGCCTGAGGTAACACAGAGCAATTATGCTTGGAATTTTTGCTTACTCATGCTTGCTTTTGAATTCCATCTCAGTATGCTTTTCAACCCCCAAAAAAGGATTTTTTTCCAGAATGAACAAACTAATTTTCATATTAATACAACACATCTAGTTCACTGAGACTAAACACAATTTCAGCATTATTTTTAATGCTGAAGTAACAAAACCATTCAGCCTCCTCTCATGACTTATTTCTATCACCATTTCTGTCACAGCTCTATTCACTCCATACTTTCCTTTAAGGAATATAAAAGCCTACAGAGTGAAGCATTTTACCTTTGAAAGGTTTTTCAGCATTTTGTTTGAGCTCACAGGTCCTGACACTATAATGGGGATTAAATTAAAGAAGGCAATTAGGCTGGTCCTGAGCCACTTGGAAAAAAAAAGAAGGGAAAAAATTAAAAAAAGAGTTTGAATAATCTCTCCACAGAGAACAATGAATCATGTTCTAATGAAAGAGCTCCTTCAGTAATCTTTTCAAGTGTCCAAGGAAAAGCCATAGCCATGATCAATAAAATAATCTGGCGTGAGTACAATATCCACCAGCCCGACTGCTTTCCAGTTCTGTGATTTGTGGTTTCCCTTTTGCCTTGGTGATGACATAAGACCTTAAGAAAGAAAACATATAAGAAGGCGCCATGCAGTCCATCTTGCGTGTTTGGTTGCTAGCAGCCATCATTACCAGGGAAAGGAAACAGCCACACAAATAAATCAAAACATTGAATTAAGAATGAGGAAATAGCCATTGAAACGAACATCAAAAAGTAAATTAAGAATTACATCTTCTTTGTACAGTGGTGCCAATGTCTCTTATTCTATTTGATGTTGAATAGAACAAGATGCATTGGTTCATCTTGCTCCTGTTCAGAATCCTGGTTAGCAAAATGACAAGGTTAGCAAGTGTGTGCCTGTCAGGCTCCACCCCATGATGTGCAATGCTAGTTGTTAAAATATCTTCACTTTGTGTTCATTACTTGTCATGACCTCAGGAGAACTAATCAGGGGCAGAAATGGCAAGGCTTAAATAAGTGAAGTAGTTCAAGCAGAGAGCTGCGTCAGCATGTGCAGGCTGCAAAGGAACACGTAGAGGTTTATTCCATGCTGAAAAGAGAAGAAAAGAAACACAACGTTTCGCCTATGGAGCCATCTGCGGGTGACCCCGAACCTTGCTTTACAGCATGGAATAAACCTTTACTTGTTCCTTAAATAAGTGAATACATCTTCACGGACAACAAGAGTAATAGTTTTACAGTCTGAGAAGAAATCTTCCACTCGTCCATTTTTTAAACGCTTCTTCCAAGTCAGGGACGCGCGAGGACCTGAGCCTATCCCAGCAAGCAACGGGTGCAAGGCACGATACACCCTGGACAGGGTGCAGGGCACACACAGACACACTCACGCTCATACCAGGGTGCATATTCTCAGACCACAATTAACCTACAGTACCAACTGCGCTGTGGGAGGAAACCAGAGCCCCCAGAGGAAACTCAGGCGAACGCGGGGAGCCCCCCGGGACTGAACCTGGGGCCACAGGGTTGTAAGGCAGCAATGCCAACCTCTGCACCACTGTGCCACCCCAAACCTTAAAAGACCCTTATTTATAACATCTGGCATGGCTGAAGCTATACTGCACCTTCTGAAAAGGATGCAAATATATTTTCTGTGTAGACAATGTCTTTTTTGGTTTGTTAATCCCAGTTGCAAACATATGACTAAAGACATTTACTCTTTAACCTGAATGTCTGAGGACATTCCAGTATGCCAGGTTTCTTTATACGGTTGAGCATGACCTTTAAGTTTTTTCAGAATGTTAACGAGAATACAAGGACCAATAACTTCACAGATATGAAGGAGTTTCAGAAAAGGTCTGGTATGAAAGGAAAGTGGAATTTTTACGAGTCAGTTAATTTGATAAATGGCAGACATTTCTTTGTGAAAGCGCAATAGCAGTATTCTCCTTAGTCCTTTTTACACCAAAATCAGTTTATAACTACAAAGTTTTTCCGTAACACCTTCACAAGTCAAATCCCAAATCTGTTCACTGTGGTCTGCCGAAGGTTGAAGAATAATTTCCATCTCAAATTTAAAACATATCATTAAATCAATGTACATTATTCCACAAAAGACAGGACTTGTCTTGAGATATTTAATTTAGTTAAGATATTGTCTTGTCTTAAGATATTTAATAATGTTTTAATATTTTCTTCTGACCACACTGGCAATGAATGAGTTTCACACAATAAGACTCAGTGTTTAACAGTGCCACAGAAAGAAACAGTCTATCTGATTACACTATTTTTGAGGACAGAAGTTACCTCACAGTGAAGTCATATGAACAGGATGCCAGCATGGTGAGTTGAAATGGGGAGAACTGAAAGTAGAGAAAATTTCTTGTCACACAGACATTAAAAGCTTATTTCTTCACATTAATTTCAGAAATCATAAAATCAGAGAACGGGGGGTACTTATATTACATACATATTTGTACATATTTTAAATATCTTTATGCATTTGATAAGTGATTTAGATAAAGTCTAACACAAAAATAACAAAAATAAACAATTAAAAACTAACAAAGCAATGTATAGACATGTAAGGTAACAGATCTTGAGATAAAACAGGTTGCAGTCTCGTATTCAGTTTTTGTGTTTTAAATAAAATGAAAGTAATGTTTGTTTTGGGAAATAACATTTTTTATACAGTACAGGTTATTTTAAAAAATGTGGTGATATTTGTTTCTTCAGTCTGTATAATTGGTTGGCATTTCAGCCAACAAGCTACTGTTCTCTTTTTGCTTAGCTGAACTAAACCAATCCTTTTAAAAGTCCATATCTGTCAGCAGGTAAAAACATGCTGAAAATATACTGAAGTGCAACACACAAAGAAACATACAATTAAAGATTGCCTGCTAAACTGTCACCAGCTAAAAGCTTTGGTCAAGCATAATTTAAATGTAAGTCAATATATTGGAGGTTTTATTTCCTGTTTTGAGCTTGGGTAACATTTTTATTTCTTAAATAACAACCAGCGTGCAACTTGTTCTGTTGGATTGATAAAGTGAGCAGTGATGTCTAACGTATGAAGTAAGACACCTGCCATAAGTAATAGCAGGTATATCTGGAGAAGTATCATTTAAAGTATCTTTTAACATCTGAAAATTGGAGCATTTATACAATGCGTACCAGATATACATTGTAACTGAACTGCATCATTGAGCAAGTGGACAACTTACATCTTGAAATAGCCATAGTGTGCAGAATTTTAACTCAAACGCAACGTTTTAAACTGAACCAATGTTCCTGGTGTATAAGCACCTTAAAGCACAGATGTGTGTTTTTAAAAACATGCCACATCTCCGCAGAGAAACAAAACAAGAGTGTTACCCACCTTCACTCTTCTTACAGCATAAGTATGACCTGTCAGCTCAGACAGTGGCTGTCGCGCATTACGCAAGTCCCAGACCCGCAGACTGCAGTCAACTGCGCCGGTGACAATCAGGTTCTGAAACGCAAAAGCAATCATCTCTGTTCAGGTTATAACTGAGGAACTTTAGTGACAGGTTTTCTTGCTATGGGGCCAGCATGCAAAAAAGGGAGTCAAAGGGACCGACAGTTCCAAGTTGAGATCTTTCGTGGGACACAAACAGAAAAGTAACCAGAAAACGATCCGTGATCAAACATAATAGCCTTCTACCCAAATTTTCACTTTCACCTATTTTTAAATGCAGAACAAACATATCAGTGGATATTATAGCAAAAGCATATCTGAAATCCACAAATTAAATTCTAGGTTCAAAATGATTTGTTGTCTGTTGTTTTTTTGGTGAAATAAATGCCGTATTGGGGAAATGGGATTTTCTACAGTAGATTGAGATTTTTTTGAATTGCCTTTTAATTTTCAGCTGCATGAGTGATTTTCGCTTATTAAAAAAAACAAATGACTAAGCATTGAAACGGCCTTAATGACTTTCTATTTCCTTGTCATTTTCTGTCATTACTAGGGAAAGAGAACTGCAGCGCTTAGCCAAGCGATGTCTTCATAAAGACTAATAATCTGGAAACCAAAGGACAGATACAGAGTTTCTTAAATTCAGCAGTTTATAGAAACCTTGTCACCCATCTGTCCATTTTCATGAGTCACTGAGAGGACGACTGTAAACCAGGGACAAGCTTGGCCGGCACAGGGACATATCTTTGGGCTGTAGGAGGACGTGTAGGGAGAAAACCGGGAGAACATGCAAACTGTCTACAGACACAGCCAGAAAAGAACCCAGCACCCTGAAGCTATCCACTGTGCTGCCCTGTGCTTACTTTTTTGCAAAACTTTTATTTTTTATATCATTAAGATTAATAAAAGATTCTACTTGTATGTCACACATGCTCAGTTTTATTTTCTTAGACGTCCAAGCATTACAGCAGTGTAATACTGAGACCTATAATTAAAAGATGTAGGTTCAATATAGTGTAAGTACATAAACCTCTGTGTTACCTGGTCATATTTGCACCAGTCACAGCTCAGTATCTCAGCCTGATGGGCGGGGATCACCAGTCTTGACCCTCCTGTTTTCAGGTCCCATATTCTTAAAGTACTGTCACCTGGAGAAACAAAAACATCCTGAGAGCTGGCTTCTTTAAGTTTTGGTATCTGGTATCTTTATGCTCCTGTTAAAGAGACAGCAAAGGATATTTATTTGGATTATTTTTTAAACGTTCTGCAACATGTCTCACAGTGGCCAGAAAGTTCGACTTCTAACTCCTGTGGATCGTCCAGGGCCTCTTGGGATAACCTGAGACAGAAGATCATGTTCTCTTTAAAGAGCCGTGGCTTCGCCCTGGCTGTCCTCCCACGAGAACCATTCTTGTTTAGTCTTTTTCTGATGGCGGAGGCAAGATCAACACCACTAGCCTCAATGAGAGAGGCTCTTCATGACCTTCTGGATGGCTTTCTGGGTTGCTCTTAAGGAGGAAGATCTTCGCAGGACAAGCGGTCATAGGAAGTCAGAAAATTCACTAAGTTATGGCCAGTATTTAGACAGACAGCACTGTCTTGGTTATTGTTTACCTGTTACTCAATTATTCAACCATTAGGTTCAATTTATCCCCTTAATTGTGGTATGTGAACTAGGGGTTAATTTATTATTGCATATACACCGATCCCTTATTGTGTTTTTTTTCTACTTCATACAACATTGCATCTCAAGAAATAATGATTTGGTAGATATAAACTGCTTTGTTTAAGAAAAGGCCAGCTTCTATTAAACACGGGTATCCTGGTAAGAAATTGTAATTTTCATAATTATAGTGGGGGTAATAAATCTATTGTGGAAATATGATGAAAGTTTATTTTTTATATAAATGTTTATTTACACATTTAATCAAGGTAATGCAAACATGCAGTCCAAGTCCTCTCTCAAACAAGTCATCAATGTTAAATTGGCAACAAATGCAAAGACCATTAGTTTCTGCTCAGTTTTCTCACATTGCACTGGCTTAGCCTGAGTAAAATGTGACGTCACAAAAAATAAAAACAAGCCCTTTGACAGTCTTAAACAAAGGGCAGTCTGTTCGTCTGCTATTTTTACTAAAGAAATAGAAGCAAAACTAATGCAGCCTCATCATAAGCTAACAGTTCTTGCTGCATTCACAATTTTTCAAAATGTTAATTTATAAACCTAAATAGGGCACACACATGCATCAATAAAGTGTTTTTCATCTGAAAAAATAAGTGTCCCAACCTCATCTTAAATAATAGTGATTAGAAAAACATCATGTGCAAGTCAGCTAAAAAAACACAACAGACAATGTAGATTCAAAATATATAATGAAGAGTTCACTAAAACTGTTCACAAGCTTCAAACATTATTGATGTCAATATTCTTTTTATAGAACAGCTTAAATATGGCTTAACTACATACATATAAACCTGTGATTTGTGAGTTGCTTGAGGGTTAACTTAAACTTTTCTTTGTGATAATATTGATTTCTTATTCAAACGGAGCCTTACAGGACACTTAAACTAAAGGATGACTCTAAGCTAGTCAGCAATCAAACAGATTTGCTATGATAGGGGATCATGAACCAAAACAAGAACCAATTTAAAAACATACAGCATGTTCAAAACAATTAGTGAGAGGCTTATATTGTCTGTATAATTTAAAGTTAATTTCTTCATGGCAAATAAAGTATCATAATGATTATAATGATTATGCAGACTAACGATTCTGCAGACCCCTGATAATCCTTTACCTTCAACCGTATTTGTCTAAATACAGCTTTCCTACAAGTGGATAAATGAATTGCTAATTGTTACTGAATATACATAGCACATATTATATGTTAAATGTAAATAGAACATATAAAGATTCATAAACATGTAATTGTTGCTATGACAAGACTGCAATACATCTAAAAAAATCAAATGAGTACAGTTAAATCAAATGCATAATGTTTCTGAAAGTCAAGACACTGCAGGAGAGAAGCTTAATCTAAACCTCTATAACATAATACATATATATATATATCCAGATACAATATCCTTCATAATTATTCATATCTCAGATGAAAAAGGACCACAAATAATTAAAGTAGTTATTTGAGTTACATCTTAGATAACGTCTTGTTTAGAAATCTAAAACGTATGGCATATACTGTACTACAGCCTGTGAATAAATCTGAGCCTTATGTGTTCTGGACTATTAATAATACAAAAATCAAATAAGGTGTCAATTGTTTATGACTAATATAACTTTTCTTCGTGCTATGCTACAAAGAATAATTGTAAGCAGTTATTTTATCTGATATTCTAGTTTCTTTGGGAGTATAAATGGAGGACACTGTATAGTAGTGTCCAAAAAGGTTATGTTACCCTTGCAAACCTGCCATATCACCCTGCAACTCACAACTGGCAACCCACTGAAGCTAAGCAGGTGTGCCTGGTCTAAACCTCTATAACATAGAGTGTCTGCAGTGTCTTGACTTTCATGGGATGGGAGACCTCCTGGGAAAATCTAAGGTTACTGCTGGAAGAGGTGTTAGTGAGGCCAGCAGGGGGTGCTCACCCTGCGGTCCACGTGGGTCCTAATACCCCAGTATAGTGACGGGGACACTATACTGTAAACAGGTGCTGTCCTTCGGATGAGACGTAAAACCGAGGTCTGAGCAGTGATAGAGAAAACACAGTCACCACAAGTCTGAGATTTAGATAAGTCTAGTTGCAAAGATCTGAACATATTGCAACTTCCCAAGAAGAGAATTAGGTTGCGCTTGACGTCATAAATGCATGAATCAAACACCCAGCATGTGACATTGATATAAACCACCCAATCCGGACAATATATCTAAGGTGAAAAACAGGTCTTAATTCATTTTATGCAAGTTTTAAAGCAAAGGATGAAAAAAAGGTAAAAGTGAATACTTCTGCAAGGCACTGTATTTTCATGATCATATTTGTTCAAAAACTTTATAGCCATTCTTGCAATAATTCCAGAATTTGTTTTGGTTAACATTTAAACACGTTTTTGCAGATTTCTAGACCTCTCATTGGTTTTATTACACTGTGATATCATAGCAACTCTTCAACCAATTTAACATTGTCCTCCTTGTTGATTAACACATAAATATTTCATTGTGACCACACAAGCATACCCAATTTTCAGCTTTTCAGTTTGCTATCTAGTAGTCAGGGGTCCTTTATAAGTTTCAAAATACTTTTTCTGCCAAAAACATCATTATTATTTATGTTACTTCTTTAATCACATTTTCCACCCCATTATGTTTTCTTTAGAAAACTGATATTTATCAGCCTCTAGGCTACAGCGTCACATCCTGAACTAGTAACCCTGCATTTTATCTGGAATGACAAACAGCTGTTGACATCACTCTGTTAAGCGTTGTAACTTAATGTTTACTAAATTAGAAGCTTGAGGCTGTACCTTTTTGATTAGAGATCAACATGGACACTACCAGCTGGGAAACTGCCTACCATCCCCTTAATTTCTGTAACGAAAGTAGTCAGCCACTACAACTGCTGTGTGCACAAAGAAACAAAGAGTTTATCAAACAGCAAGCTTACAATAATGGAGCCAAGCATTGCACTTTGTCAGGGATGTGGACTGTGACAGCTAAGCACGTAGCAGAAACGTGATGTGATATCAAAGGTAAACAATCTGACACTGTCGTACGCACTTTTGTGCTAGAGCTTCTGCTGCAGTTAAAACGATAAAAAAATAAAGCTCAGTTCATGAAGCATTGATTTCTTCCTTTTTCTTTTAAGCAACAGTGAATTGTACTTGCAATACTTTTAGATTGGTTACTTCACTACTAAGTCCTCACATTAATCGTAACAAAAATTAAACTACTACAGTTTAATTTACAGACTAATGCTAATGCATTTCATTACAGAAATAACGGACAGGCACATAAAAAGATTGTGAGTAATCCACTCTCTAAATTGCAATGATTTTCTTTTAAAGCAAATATTATTTTTAGGAAAAACTAAAAATGTGTGGAGCTTTAAATACTTTGGGTCAATGGCATCTTTATGATATTCTCCTGATACTATAATCCCATTCTTTGCAGTAATTAATGGGTCAATCAATCAGTCATTGAATGCAATGAATACATTCTTATATCTGATCTCAATAATTTATTAATTACCAGTAGCCTCTAACATGAAACATCAGAGCATGAGGCATTATCTTTCAAAGGAACAAGTAAAGCTTTATTCCATGTTGAAAAGAGACACAATGTTTCAGCTGGGGAGCCTTCTTCAGGTGTGTCTTTCAACTGCCTTACTAAAAGTTAGTGGTGTACAAAACAATATTTAAAGAAGTCAAAACACACTTAATACACCACATTCTGCAATTACTATGAAAAGACTTACTTATGAAGTTATGTAAGTTTAAAAAACATTCCAGAATACGACTTGAGTGAATCAACATTTTGAAAGGTATAGAGTGTCAATGTTTGAGATTCTTAACAGACAAATGACTTTCTTGACAATATCTTGGGATCAATTTGAGCTTAATTTATGGTTATTTATGTTACATATTTACATAGTTTTCAGTTTTTATGAAGGCATCATAAAATGATGCTCAGTTCTTCTTTGTTGTCTGGATTTTTATGTCTGATACTGTCTGTATCAGATTACACTTTTCAAGTATAGGAACTAACTGAGTTTTTATTTTTTCTGAATAGTGAAATCTACTGTTAATAAGATCACTTTATTGGCCATATACAAGTCCTTGTATTTCCTCGGGTGGAGCGCTGGCTCTGTGGCTCAGGATCTGCGCCTGTGGCTGGAAGGTTTCCGGTTCGTGACCCTGCGCTCTGACCCCAAGCTTCTCTCTCCCTGTGTGTCTCATGGAGAGCAAGCTGGGGGAATGCGAAAAAAGACAAATTCCTAATGCAAGAAATTGTATATGGCTAATAAAGTGATCTTGTATTAGGAATTTGTCTTTTCGCAGAACCCAGTTTGCGCTCCATGAGGCACACAGACAGGGACAGAAGCTTGGGGTCAGAGCCATTTATACGGCGCCCCTGGAGCAGTTGGGGTTAAGGGCCTTGCTCAGGGGCCCAACGGAGTAGGATTCCTCTGTCGGCCGCGGGATACGAACCAGCAACCTTCCAGCCACAGCCGCAGATCCTGAGTCACAGAGCCCCCGCACCGTGTAGCAACAGTTATCCTGATGGCACTTTTAATCTTTTACAATATCTGCTCCTGATGAAATTTGGGCTGATTCGCTGGCACTCTATCAATGCTTTAATAAAATATCATGCAGTAAAGGTCTCCATCAGGGATGCAAAGTCTGTTCCAAATAATATCCAGGCTTTCCGGGAAAACCCAGAACTGAAATGCAAGAGATTGATTAATGACTGTGCAGGTAAAGTCAGCATAGCAATGACTGTAGTAGTTCAGGTGGGTAGCTGCGTTAGCGTAATAGGTTTATTCCAAAAGACATCAGAAACCAGAAATATCCTGAAACTAGGATCACACCTTCCCCCTTCTCTCAACGGCAGACTCGTTTCTTTCTAATCCTCTCATCATTTGCAGGTTTTGACTTCACACCTCTCTTCACCTCTCTCGACTTCACACCCCCTGAGTGTCCACTCTGCTCCTCTCCTGCTCCCTCCTCCTCTCCACTCCTAGCTGTTGTCCTCCCATGCTTTATCTACTGCCGGTGTTCCTCTCTCCCACACCTGAAGAAGGCTCCACAGCCGAAACATTTTTTTATTTTCTGTTCTTTTCAGCGTGGAATAAACCTATTACTTATTCCTTTGCAGCCTACGCATGCTGATGCAGCTCCCCACTTCAAATAAGTTAGTATAGTGATGACTGTGTAGGTAAAGTTAGCATAGTTGTGATTGTGCAGGTAAAATCAGAAAACTGATGATTGTGCAGGTAAAATCAGCAAAGTGATCTTTGTCTTCCAAGTACTACTCCAGCAACTTATCTTCTCTGAGACATAAATAGAGCCCATAAATGTTACAACTAATGGTATAAACTCTTAGCATATTAATTTCTTCTGCTGTCATTTGGTGGTGAAAATGAGATGAATGATTTGGTGACTGCTGGAGGATAGTATTTCTCTTCAGGTCCTCTGGGGTTTATGTCAAGTACACCTGTGAGACTATCCAACTAACTTTCACAAACTGGACAAAGAAAGGAGGGAGTACTTGACAATTTCAGGTTTTCAAACCAAACGATATGCAATATCTTGATTAGCACCATTCATGCTTCAAATAAGAAGCATAAAATTATGTATCTTTTGGTTAAAAGCAAAATATATATACGTATATATAAACATAACTTTTTACATAAGATGATTTATGTACTCAGTTGACTTGGTTTTATGCAGATTTTCTCTATTAGTGCCTAAATTTAGAACAGGGACTATACCAAGATGAACTTTTTGTTCTATCTAACTGAAAGACTACTGAGCACTGTATTAACACCAACGACTGCTCCTGTTTGCTAGCAATACTGTCTCATTTATTAAGTGGTTTGGAGATTTTTTAAAAATCTTGAAACATAAAAATGTCCACAGTCTCAAGGATTTTGATTTTTGAGTGATGTCATTCTCTCGAAGCTGTGCATAGTATTTTAACCTCCCTACAAATAACACTCTCTTTATTCTGCTATGCATAATTAATAGTCAAAAGATAAATATATATTGGTACTATTACTAGTTTGAACATCAATATGTTCGACTAAGAATAGCTTACACATTTCTTATATACCGTGTAATGTGACAAAGACACTTTTTACTTGGGGAGAGTGAAAGCTCTCTGCACTGCACCATAGTGTCTCTTGGAAATACACAAGACTGCTTTGAAAAACTTGAATGCACTCTCACTGGGCTACATACATTTTTATGTTTCTTACTTATTAATTAAATTGAGGCTCAAAAAGCAAAAAAATATTACCACTCATAGGGTAATGGAATGGTTATTCGTACTATTTAAAATTTGAACTGCTTTCTGAGAAAACAAATAATATGTTTATTTGGTGTCTTTTGTTATGCAAAAATAGCTGATGTTGTTCAATAAATGCACTATTTATATAAAGGTAAGTTATAAAAAATAATTTTACTGGTGCTAACATTGCATGTTTTTCATACAACTGTATGCTGTCCAAAATGTAAACATGAAGAATAAATCACTTGTTGACTGCTTAGTATCAGGCTGACATGTGCAGAGACAGCAGTTGTGCTGTCCCAATGAAATCATCAAACAATCAAACAGAGAGGAGTCACCCATCACGTCAGGTGTTGTGTGCTGGCACTGCCAGAAATGCTCACTGATAACCCCAAACAGACCCACCTGAGAAAATGTTTAAGCTTCTTCAGGAGAGAGGAACACCAGCAGTAGATAAAGCATGGGAGAACAAAAGCTGGGAGAGAAGAGGAGCGAGAGGGGGAGCAGGGGACAGAAAGAGAGGCCAATCAAGAGGTCTGAAGTCAGAATAGGTGTAGAGAGGTGTGAAATGAAACCGCCAATGAATGGAGAAAATTTAGAAGAAAAGTAGTCTGTCATTGAGAGAAGGGGGTAGGTATAATCCTAGCTGCAGGATAATTTTGGTTTCTGTAGTCCTTCTGATGTATGAGTTCGGAAAACTGTCTTTTCTAAAGCAGTATGAGTGCTTTTTTGGCATTTGTCAGCACCAAAGTCAAAATGATTACGACCTTGACTGCCAATGGGCGCCCATGCGGTTGAAACACCTACCATCGCCTGCAGCAAGAAGGCTGACAGGTTCCTGGATAGATCAGGATATGTTACACCAGTTACACTTCACTTCTGAGTGTGACAAAACCTTGGCTTCCACATCAATGTATACCACAAAACCAGGAGTGAGTGCAACTCCTCCTGTACGTCCAGGAACAAAACTGAAGCCAGAAATATGCACATTGCCTGGTGTAGCATTCACCACAGGTGTCATTCTGAAACTTTACAGCCAGTTGCCACAGACTGCAAGGAATTCACCACAGTACAAAGCATTCAGTGGATCAGCACTGAAATCCTGGTCAGGGCTGCGCTCTGGAGCAGTCCGATCTCCAGGGCTGGAGCGTTCATGCCGACAATGTGGTCACTAAAATCGCAGGTGTGCAGTGACATCTTGTGGTACTCTGGGATAATTAACCGCTCAGCCAGTTAAAAATGGGCTCAACTCTCACATTAATCTAACCATGAGCTAATTGATTACTAAGAGTAGAAAATGTAGGCTATAAATCAACAGAAATCTGTGCTTTTAAACATAAAACCCGGAATATTAGTAAAGACAGTAGACTCACCAGAAGCTGAAGCAAAACAGCCAGGAATGTGTGGAGACCACGATGTGCTATAAATAACACTTTCATGACCTTGAAATGTGCCAACTGACTTGGCAATTTCTGGGTCCCACTGAGGAAACAGAAACAGGGGAGTACTTAACGATTTTCACCCAGACACTTTTACGTTTTTATTTTTTCCTGCATAATAAAAGAGTTATTGCACTTTTGCAATATATTGCAATCCTTGATCTTAAAATAATCTCCTTTTTAGTATTTCTTCCAACTTTGTTTATCTCAAAATGCTCTGATAATTGAGATGATTGAAAAATCTTACTGATTAAACAGACATGATCAACCCGGTCAATTCATTTGACCATTAGTAGCACCAGTTCACAAAAGGCAGAATAATTCAAAATGGCAGAGGAATGGAATTGAATAGATTTGACTGTGGGATGAAAAAAGATATGCACTAAAGGTTCAATATGTCTTATGGCATTTCTTTCAGTGGCAAGAGGCCAAACAATCCATCTGGGAAAACACTAGCATTGGCACCTAGTAGCTTTTGCAGCACTAAGTCAAGCGATGGGTGTCAAATTTACGCAAGTAGCTATAATGAACATCCTCTGTTCTTTTCTCTCTGACTTTTTTTTGGCTGAGGCAGGCATTCAATATCAGTGAGTAGATGGAGTGATGCAAAGGTATAGGAAAACTTAATGTTTTAATCAGCCATCAGCCGTGTACACTTCCAATTCCTGCAGAGCTAGGAATGCGTCTGGTTTATCCCAGCCCCCGTTCAGACATCTGCCACAAGGACTGGCTTCCTGTGTGTCAGACATATCTATTCCCATCTATTTATTAATGTATTTTTTTTCTATAATAAGAGGGAAGCAACAGTATTCACTCCACAAGGCCTGCTTATTGTAATGAAGTGTCAAGTGTGCTATCTGCAGCAATGACTATCTACTTAACGTTTGTGTTTGACACAGTGAGGATGATTTCTCTGTTTGTAAAGCGGAACTGAATCATTGTTTTCATGTTTAGAAAATACTGATAATCTGGTATTTCTTTTGCAAAATTTTGCATAGGTAATCAAAGCTAAATGGAAGAAATAATCATATCAATCCAGGATATTTCAAAACAATACCACAAGCCAGAAGAAGCTTTTTCAGTTATTTCTATGTGTACACATCACTATATGATTGTTTGAGACATCTTACCACTTTAGCAGTGTGGTCCCAGGAACCAGAAACTATGAATGTTTCACCACGGGTTAAACTCCAGTCAACGCTATACACCTGCACACAGAGGGATTCATATACATTAAGTCATTCAACTTCACAAAACAAAGAAAGAGAATATCTACAGGCTTCATAGAACAAATGAAGAAGACCTTGACATCTGAAGAAGGCTCCACGGTCGAAACTTTACGTTTCTTTTCTTCTCTTTTCAGCATGTTATAAACCTGTACTTGTTTCTTTGTAGCCTATGAATGCTGACGCAGATCCCTGCTTGAATATCCACAGGCTTGGGTTAAAATAATACCTATAAGCGTTATTTAAAACATTACAGAGACCAACTTTCAGTAAGAACTATTTAAAAAAAGCCCTATAACCTAGAAAGAGATTGAGAAAATTAAAATGCATACCATTTTATTTTTACTGATGATAAGAACAATAAGTCATAATGACTTCAAAATAACAAATGCAACTTTTGAATAGATACTCTAAAGAAAGAAAAAAGCCAAGAGCTATTCTATAAATTTGACAACAGAAATGGAACCACATTTTTTTATCATTGCAAATGTATTTGATTGTATTACAGCTTGGTATTATTATTAACAAAGACTACATTGAAAATAAAAATACATAGATGCTTTTTATCCTACAAAGACCATGCCAGTTGACCCACATGATTAACTACCAAGTTGTAATATAATAATAAGAACAGTGAGAGCAGTCAGTCAATGATGTGGCATGTCCATCCATGCATTTTCCAATCTTTATCTTTATCCAATTCTGGGTCACTGGGGAGTCCCAGCAAGCAACAGGCGCAAGGCAGGCAGGATACACCCTGGACTGGACGCCAGTCCATCGCAGGGCCCACACAGACACGGACACAAGCACCCACAGCAGGGCCAGTTTTCACAGAAGCCAATTAACCACCTAGTGTGTCTGTGAAAAAGC